GATGTTGAAAAAATCATTGACAGATTTGCCATAGTTTCTAAAAAACGCATTACATTTATTATTTAAAGATTTTGAATACTTAAATTATTTTCAGGGATCGCATTCCCCCTAAATTCATAAAACTATGTGCAAACCCTAAAATTTCTAAAAATCTGATAAAATTTTGTTGGTGTTCCTAAAAAATTAGAGTTATAGGCTAAATATAAATAAAAAAGCAATAATCTAAAATTTAAGAATTTAACTACATTAATTAAAACTGTTTTAATTTTGCCTCATGGGAATTCTGATCCTGAGAGAGGTTTTTCGATAAATAAAGCAATGCTTAATGTGAGTCACCATGAGAATACTATTATGTCTCTTAGACTAATCAAAGATACCATTCGAAATTATGGAGGAGTGTTGAAGATCACCACAACACTATTGAGGGCAGTAAAAGAATCTCACAAATCATATCAAGAATATATTAGAAAAATGATCATGATTAATTTGTTTTTCTCTAACTTCTAATATAAATTGCTGATTTGAAATCTAATAATATCACACAATAGTTTTTCTTAATAAAATAAGGTGAAGGGTAATAATAAAGTTTTGATTAAGAAGGTAAAAATCAAATAAAAAAGTCACACTCACAATCACCCCTGTTAAAGGTATGCAGGTTATTTGTTCTGATTTTTCGAACTATTTTTTTTATAGTTTATATAAACATCGCAGGGGATGAGAAAGGGAATTGTCTTTTCTGTGTACTTTAATAGTACATATAAGTATCAGAGATATGAGAATTTAAGTTCTTTAAAGTATATACAATTTAAGACAGTATTATTTTTGTTAATATTTAAGTTGATACAGTTTTTATATGGTATATTTTTACTTCATAAATGATTAAATCATTTTCTGTATACTTAATCTGATATGGATAGGAAAGAAATGAAATTGTGAAATTTTTTAATATATATATCGCTTATAATAATTTTAAGTTCGTAAAGTTTCAGTCAAATATTCCTTAATTTTTTATTTGGCGTTGCATTTTAATTTACGAATTGGTTTGGATTCAAAAAAGTATATTTAATTTTTCCAAGTTGGTGTTAATTTATTTTTTCTCTTGATTTATTCTCACTTTTGCCTGTTCCTGAATTATGCACCTAATTTTTGATAAGTAATATGTTAAGTTGAAATTTCATTTTTACATTTTAGAGATTTCATTCTTGACTTAGTAAAATTTCAGAGATTTATTTTATGGCTTGCAATTATTTATGATATGTATGGATGAATAAGAATAATATTCTGTTATGTAATAAACTACCGTGTGATCTGTTTTTATCCTGGCAAAATCATATATTACCCCAAAAATTTTTTGAAAAAAGTTTGTCAAATTACTCTAAAATTTTAAAAAACTTGGCTGCTACCCCTGTGTGTTGTTCCATTATGAAAAAAAAAAAAATAAATGAGAAGACTAGCATTAAAAACCTCAAATTTTTTTTCTTCAAAAAAATATTTAAGAAAATTTTTTTTGTAAAAAAATTAATTGGGGGGGGGGGATCTGAGTCTATGCCTCCCCCCAGGAAAAATTTCTGGATCCGCCCCTGGTTTTGGAACAACATCGATCGACGTCGTAAGCGAAGTTTTTTCGCGATCGATTACGAGATTCGAGATCGATCGATATAGAGTGCTACTTGGGAATGTGGGGATAGTATTTATCGACAAGGTCAACCTTCATCTATGAAATGGTACCCCATCCTAGAATTGTGATAACATGTCTTATATACTAGTGAATTGTAGTTGTAATTTTGTAGTGGTAGGTACGCTACAGATTAAGCAAAACATGTTATCCCATCAAAATAAAGAGAAACTGTATTCATCAGCAGCATCTGGCATAACGCTGTTGCTCGAGGCAACTCATAATATTTAAAATTCCTGTAATTTGAGGGAAATAGGTACTACTGGTAATACTTTGTTTTTGCACCAACTAGAGACTGAATAGTTCCAAATATAGTTTTTAATTCAGTGCTGGTGGAATGAAAAGCCTTGCATTTCTTTAATAACTTTAAATAGCACTTTTATTTTAGAAGGTTATTTATTTCTATATTATTTTGTTACAAATGTAAGAAAAAATTTTTATTCACTTATTTTTTGATGTATTACTAAACTCAAAATTTACAGAATAGAAATTTTTGAGAAGAATTCTGGAACTATAATGTCAGAATTACTAGAAATACAGAGTTATTTTATAATTGTTATAAGAATTTATAATAATTATTAAAAGAGATAATTTATAATTATAAGAGTTATTTTATAATTTTTTTCAAAATATACAATTTCCCAAGTAGGAAAGCATGAATATCTCAACTGAAAAGCTCTTCTCCTAAAAAAAAATTGTCCGAACATTAAAACAAAACATGATGGATCATACGTAAGTTGGAAACTAATCCTCAGTTCTTATAAAACTCAAAAGTTAGATTAAAAAGTCGAATCTTAAATGTGCTCATTAATGTAGATGATATTTTAATAATATAATAAATTGTGAAATAAGACACTGCAAATTTGAAATTCTGACTCAAATTTGCAGTGGATATGGATGTTAGATGAAAGCCTCAATCGAGAAAATTTGATCGCAATAGTTTAGGTAAGAGGGCAGTCCAAAGTTTGGACCTTAATATGTTAATTTCACTTTTTGCACATTTCGTTGATGCAGGAGAAATATTTAAGCGAACCAAAAGAGTTTTGTACACAATTATAAAATTGGTTAATCTAAAGATTTCACTAATTTTTTTTTTTTAATAATTATTATTTTATTTAAGAACAGTCGAAACATTTTTGAATTGTAATGTATACAAACTTTTACACCTTTTTAAAGCAGGCAATTTTCAAACACAAAATTAGTAAATTAGATCGAATTGTTTCAGAGTTAACAAATTATGAACTTGATTTTTCAAACTATTCCACAAATTTCATTTAAATTTTGTCGTTGAAAATTACATACTTAACAATGTAATACTTTCATTTCAAATTTCCTTCACCAGATAAAATAAATTACGATAATTATTATTTTACATGGAATTATATTCGTATAAATGAATTTTATAATTTTGTGCTAGAACTTTTTGATTCGCTTAGTAATTTCCATAGATAAAGCAAAATACGTAAAAAGAGAAATTATCTTGAAGGGGTCAAAACTTATAATCGCTCTCTTGTAAAAATAATTGTTACCCCATTCCCAAATTTTTCGAAAAATATAAATTTAAAAAAAAAAAAAATTCTGGGAAAATACTTTTTTGTGTCTGATTTCATAGCTTAAAATATCATCAGCTTTATTCATTAACATATAAAATCCTCGAACTATTGAGAATTTGAAAATCCGTTCATTAGATTAGATCAAAAGTTATTTTGAGCACAGTATGCATCAAGGTAAGTCTCCTTGAACATGAAATAAACAAAACACACACTCAGTTAAGTCTCACTCTAAAATCTGTTTAAGGGGCCATTCAAAGAGTACGTACATCCCGAAGGGGGGGGGGAGGAGATTTGCTATTATGTACGGTTTTGTACGATGGGGAGGGGGGGAGGTATTATACAAAGTACGTACTTTATAAACATACACCAAATTTAAATTTGACTTTATCCTACACACTCCTTAAGTAAATATTTAATTTTATTTAAAACATAATTATTTTAATTTTTATGAAAAAGGGGGGTAGACTAATAAAATGTACGTACTCTAAGGGGGGGGGGAGGGGTTTAAAATTTCTCCATTTTTGTGTACGTACTTTTTGAACGGCCCCTAAGTTCAATTAGCAAGTGTAGGCTCCTAATCATGTAATTGATTTAAAAAAAAAAAAGCATATCTATCAAGGAACCCCACTTTTCTGTTCCCACTAAGAAGGACAATTTAGAAGTTTCAAGCTTGTCTTATCTTCAGCATATAGAGGAATAGTATTTTTCGCTGGAAAAAAAAAAGGCAAAAGTACAGGGTCATTTTGTGTTGGGATACCAGCAATATACCACTTTTTTTCTCATTTCCCCGGGATTGAAATAAATAAAACACAATAGCACTGTAGTTTAAACAATGAACACGTGAAAGAACTAATAAATTAAAATGTGTATTTTATAGAAGTTATTTTCATTGGTGTTTTGTGATGCCCCCTTTACCTCATGTGCTTAGTTTGATTAATTGTTAATCCGGCCCTATGCAGGGGGGCTATGAGAGTCTATATGCATGAGATTCGTAAATCGGGCCCTGGTTATAAATTTGACACAGATGAACTTTAATTTTTTATAATAGATTACAAACAGCGTATCTTTACTTTTCAAACTTTAATTTACTACATCGCTGTGTATTCTTCTCGTTATAGCAAGGGTCTGATCTAAGAGACCATGGGCACATCAGGGGCCCCTTAACTTTTAATTTATTTACTTGTTTATTTATGAAGTGTCTTTAAATTATTTAGAACATGAGCAAATTACGATATTTTAGTAAATTTAAGATTATATATTTATTACAATTTTTGCTAATTTGTAATTTTAAGACAATTCTTAATGAAAAAGTCAAAAATAAATTATTCATAACAATAAAGGGGCCCCCAGAAATTATGATAAATCAGGTTCTATAGATTCCACAATTAAGTATAAGAAAAGAAGGGCCGGGATAGTCTGGTTGGTAGGACGTTGTACTCCTGTTCGTGAGAACAGGACAGGAGTACAAATCCAACCGGAGAGACGCCGCATATTAAATGGTGACTGGTGCACGTTAAATCTGTCGGGGTAAAAAAGTCCTCCAAGCTCCCATAACAAATCAATATCTCTAACTTTAGGGGTACTGAATTGGAGATTGATCGTTCTCTGGTTCAGGGAAAAATTATGATCTTTGGATGTATGAATGGATCTGCACGAAGCCGTATTATCGGCCATAGATGTCGCCACTGAAAAACAACATATGCATCCCCTGCCTTAAATTCGCTTGGTTTTTTAAACAGGCTTGCTAGCTTTGGCAATGGAAACACAAGAAAAGAAACAAAATTTTAATTTATTTTCAAATATAACAACAATATTTTCAATATAACATAAAATATACAGATAATATCAGAAGGCTATCAGGATGAAATTGTTTGGTGCAGCTTTATGATGTGCTTCTTTAAATTACCCTTGAGAGAAAAGGTTTTATTGCATACATTGCACTCAAAAGGGCGTTCCAGAGTGTGCTTGCGCACATGTCGTTTCACTTGAGCAACATCATAAGAAACGTAGTCGCAAAAGGAGCATTTGTTTGCTGTGCGGTTCCCAATTAAAAACTTCAAAATTGTACCCTCAGTTTCAGTTGCAAAACCTGGAATTATAACAAACATATTTACATCTCCATATAGCAATAAAATTTACAAATAAAGTCATTATTTTAATATACTAGTATAAATGATAAGCATTTTGATAGATCACAATGTCAGTAAAAATATTTTTTACTAAAAAACTGTACTTTTTTTGTGTCTGTAAAATTATACATATATTTTTAGGGGAAAAAAAAGAGCTATCGCAAGATAATGTAATCACTAGAACGTCAAGTTCTAAGAGAGATATAATAGTTTTAAAATTAATTAATAGGTTCATTATTTAGGTTGCGGAACCCTAAAGAATTAACCTTTTTTCGACGGAACCCTGACTACATAAATAAAGTTTATATTAAGGTAATAGTGAACGTGATAACCTTTGAAACATTGTTTTTAAAATAATTAAAGGAATGAAGATTTTTCGTTTCATCATTAATAATTTTAAATTAGGTTTTGTATCCGACATTTTATTTTTGCAGTCCTTGTGCTATATATCCAGTTTAGTAATTTACTTTTGATGAACACACATAGCTGAAAATGTATTAAATAAGCCGAATTATGGTTTATTTCGAGATGAAAAGTGAAAAGAACTGCTATAAATGTTAAAATTGGTCATTAAGGAATCATATTTCTTTATTAAAGAATTCCATTATTTATTTCATTTAAAAAGAGCGATAGGAAATACTAAAGCAATATTTTATAAATGCTTGTTCTTTTCATAATTTGTCCAATATATTGTTAGATCTTTTAAAAAATGCTACTATTTTTATTTCATTGGTCATCATTTGAAATAATTTCATAAAGGCAATTGAAAGAGTAAATAAATTATGAATAATAGGTTGTATTTAAATTTAATCAGAGGCTAAAAAATTCATCATAGGTTGCAAAAAGTATTAATTCGTGGGGAACTCTAGGGTTCCGTTCATTCCACGAAATCCTAGGGTTCCGTGGAAAGCTATTTGGAAACCTGGTGAATTAGTACATTCATTATACATTTCTAGAAGTGATGGAATTTATATAATTTAAAAACTATATATTGAAAAAAAAATTAGTTCTAAATTTAAAAAAAATTAATATTCAGCACTACAAAATATTATTTGAGCATTTTTTTTTAATATTTTCAAGATTAAATTGGCACCTAAAATTCCAAAACTGTATTAATTTAAACTATTTTTCATTTTTGGGACTGACATGAATGTACCGGTTAAATTCCACCACTGATTTTTGTTAGTACACTGCAAACAAATAGCGCAAAAAAAAAAACTAAAACATTCCATTGCAATTTACGTTTATAAGTTGAGAAGTCAAAAAGTTAAAATGCTATTTATTTTAATAGTACAACTTATAATATACATATAATAGTTTATAAATATATGGAAAAATATATAGCTTATAGATATATAGAATAAGACCATTCTCAAAGCTCAATCACAACATGGTTCAATTTTAACATAAGATCAATCAATGATCTAACTTACCTTTGGTCAGTTGCAACATACATAGTTTTTCTGTATTAAAAATGTTTACAGGAGTGCAATAAAAACATCTGGTAGCTATTTAAGTTAATAAGTTTTTTAATCTTTACAAAAGAATTGGGCACAAAAAAACAGATTAAAATGTACTTAAATATTGGGCACCATCCACTACTTTTAAACAGTATTATTCGTGATCGCAACGCTCGAATATGTCATTTGGTGAGATTACGGTTTCTATATCTTGACCCTTTACTGATCTCCTCTTCTCAGTTGTAATAGGAATTTACTACAATATTTTCCACTTTCTTAAAATTTTTCGTATTTAATTGACAAAAACATTTTTTGAATTTTCACGACGTTTTCTTTTTGATCTATTCAGGGGAAATTGTGAGCTCGACTCAAAAATCCTGAAAATTTCTTGAGTAAAATCATTAATGACGCATTTCAAAAAATGTATGAGTTTATAAATTTAAATCATTGATATTTTCACAATATGAAATTCTAAATAAATTATATGCAGCATAATTTAAATTAATAATTATGTATAAGTTTATTTTTATCAGAAATCACATATATTATTCTACCAGAAAAAATATCTACAGATGAAAGAGATGCCAAGCATAAATTCTAGTTTTTATATTTTTAAATAAAATATACAAGAATTTTTATACATAAATGTGATCCATGATTTTTATTGAAACTTTTGGACCTTGGATTTCCGGATTACAGTTAGAGAAAAATCTAGAGCACAATCTTCTCTGATCTATGTTTAATGTAGTTTTCAGTTCCATATAGTTTCCTAACTCAAAATTTTCAAATCTATTTGAAAATCAAGACAGAAACTAACGTACTTCCTTCTTCTATGACAGTCTACACGAGCTAATAGGGAAAGCATTCGAGGTGTTGCTTTAGGTAGAGAGTACTGTTCTGTGGCCCATTTTGATAACTCTTTTTTAACACTTGGCTTCTTCATTCTATTCTAAATCAGAAATATAATTAACCCTTTCGATTGACTTTTGCATAGTTAAAATTTAATTATGAAAAGTGGTCTCATTTAATGTTGTCATGCATGCTAAAATAAGTCACTGCTCAATAGGGGATGATATCTAATCTAGGACCCAAAGGGTTAAACTTCATAACACTACCATAGTTGCCAACATCAACAGGAAAAAAATCTAGTAGATTTTATAAAATAAAATTTATGATAATTGTTTCATAATGTACTAAATATTTTACTCATAGGGAATTTTAGCAATTATTATAGTCATCAAAATAGAAAAACTGCAATATTTTCCAATTATGATTGACATTTAACCTACTTGAAATGTTATGCATTATGTTTACTCATGATTTCGAATATTAATAGACATTTAATTCATCAAAGATGGTTAAAAAACTTTTTTTTAATTCATTTAAAAAGAAAGTTCTGAATAAAAATAAACTAAACATTTTAGAACAAAATAATGTTTTGAACTGATTTCTATAAATGAGGTTGGCTTCATTATGTATTAGTAATACTTATTTAAATATTCAATCAATTAATGTACAAAAATTACAGTTCAATAGGAATTTTTTTTAGGAAACTTACTCAATTTTAGGGAATTTTCTTAAATATACAAAAACCAGAAGAATCTTAATTTAACCAATAGACCCTATTGGAAAATCCAGAGTAGAGTTGGCAGTTATCATTTTATGAAGTCATGATGTGAAAGATAGCAGTTTTATTATAATCAGTGAAGGCTTTTGATCCAGGTGTGAAGATAACATCTGCTAGTTTGCTGTTGTTAAATTTTTCATTCTTGTCAGCACTAAGTTCAGTGGTTGACAAATTACGTATCATAATTCGAGAGTAGTAGAGCACTAGTTATTAACACAATTATTAAAAATGATTTTCTGCATAATTTGGCTCATTACATTTTATGGTTTTCTGCAAAAAATTTTAACTAGCATAACTATTAGTGGAGATTAGGCTAATTGAATTACACAAAAAAATTACAGAGATCGAGTTTTCTGAAAGATAAATTGTAACAACCACTGCATTTTTGAAAGTGGGAAATCCGTAAGAAAAAGCTATATTTATTCTAAGAAAGTATTTTCTTGAGACTTATTGCATTATTTAATTGAAAAGCTTGGAACAGCTACATTTTCACATGAAACTATTCCTTAGTATTGTTTCACTACATTGATATTGCTTCACAACTATAATTTACAGTAAATAACAGCACAACTAACGGAAACATAACAGGGGTTCTCTTCACCAAAAATGCTATTTAAAAACCCTCTCTTGAACAATTTTGTTAGTTCTAATTATTAAATCCTCAGATCTTATTGTAAAACAAAAATTCTGTCAATGGATCACAAATTTTATGACTATTTATACAATAAAACATGGTTAAGTATATATATACAGTATATCTATATAACATAATTATCCTTGTACCGCATAAACTTAACAATCCCTTAAGCAAATTAAAAACTATAAATTTCATAGATTTTATTTCAAATATTGATTTTTGTGTTTTAAACTATTTAAAAATTATTTTGAAGTATTAATATAAAATAATCTATAAAAAACACAGAATTTAATATAATAAAAAAGTCCCCATGTTTCAAGGTATATATTATAAAGATCTTCTGTATGTATAGATGTGTGTGTGTATGAACATCAGGCAGGCCTTCAGTACTACATGGGACGCTGCTGATTATCATAGCATCTACATAGTATTTTTTTTTTTTTACATCAGACTCAAAAATAAAATCACAGTACCTACAGATTGTTTTTCATTAAAAATGTTTTCTTTTTTTAAAAGGAAGAAATAAATAACGCTACAAAACTACTTAATGTAAAAACGGAAAAATTATTTTTAATTCCTGAATGTACTCAATTACTGTTTGCTTCAGTTCTTTAACAAAAAATTATTTGCTAATCTGCAGATATATGAGCTAAATAAAAGTGATTAGTTTCAAAAATTCCAGGTAACACTCTAATTTATTTCAATTTTGAAAAATAAAAATATTAAAAGACAAGAAAAATTTTAAAAATAAATTCTTAATTTCCAAAAACTCTAGTTGCTTGTATATAGACTGTATAGGAGCTTATCCATTTTTTAAATCTTAATTGTTTTATTTCATTGAATTAAAAGTGCAAAAAAAAATTTTACATTTTTTTTGTTTATAATTTTTATCTCTTTTATAGGTAGGACTGGGCTATAAATCGATATATCGCGACATATCGATTTAACGCTTATATCGGCAAACCGATACAGCAACTTTCATTCCAAGCGATGCATTTGAAATCTGATTTAAGCCGTCGAGTGAAGAAGACGATATAACGATATAGCGATATAGCGATACACGCAAGGACTTTCTCTTACGTTCCGATGCCAACTCGCGCTGTGGAAGACGATATTGTTTCGTTATGTTGAGGCGGCCTTGACTGATGAGCGGTAGAATCAGAATCACTTTTGAGACTTTATATCGTTATATCACATGTTCGTTTTCGCACCTTCGCGATTTGAAATCGTTTCTTGTAGATTATTTTCAATGGGATTAACTTCGTGATCGCCGTCGTAACCTTGTTCTGAACGCAATCTATTATTGAAAAGAATTTATAAAGAAAAGTTTCTTCATTAATTAGGTAAGTTTTTTATTTATTTTCTGACAAAACTTTTTTTATATTTTTAAATGTGAAAATTATCGGAAATCTAATTTAAGGCACCCATAAGGAATTAAATTACAAAGTAAATAAATTTGTTAGGTTATTTTTTTACTTTCTTTTAATTTATTAAAAACCTTTCGGATAAAACTTCTAATAATTTAATGGGCTTCTATTACTGATTTTAAATTTATAAATCTTGAGTTGTTTTTATTTTTAGAAATAAAGTTAAAACAAAACTTATTTTTTGGACATAAGTCAATAAACTTTATTTGTTCAAAAGAATTTGAAAAGTTTGCGAATTTTATTCATTTTTTTTTTTTTTTTTATCAATTACTACTTCGTTTTATTAGAGAGTAAAATCATTATTTTTTTTTAATTTTCGTTTTATATTATTAGTTAATTAGCTAAATATATTACCGAATATCACAATTCTTTTGTTTTTATTTTTAAGAATTTAATTAAGAAACTTTGCCTTACTTTGTTTTTCGTTCATAATTCGGTCATTATTTAATTTAATTTAATTATTTATATGAAATAATAATAAAAATAGTGTTTAAGAAGCATTTTTTTTCTAAAATTTATTTAGCTCTTTGTTTTAAGCATACAAATAATTTTTTAACGAACTTATTTTTTAAATTTTGTTCCTATGCTGTTAGGTAAATATATTGATAAATTTCACTTTTATTTATTTTTTTATTTTTAAACTAAGAAATCTTTTGTTATTTGCGTGATCATTTTTAGAAAATATAACAAAACTTGTGTTTACTTCTTCATTAAGAATTTGAACATTACGATCGAACTTAATAATTCTGTAATTATTTACGCATAATAGTACAAGCAAATATTGATTTGTTAAAAAAAGTTTTTTTTTTTAAAAAAAAAAAATATTTTTAACACTTTGTTTTAAGTGTATAATGAATTTCTTAACAAACTTTTTTTTTAATTTTTTAAATTTTCTTTCAATAATTTCAGCTAGATATCTTTATAAAATTCCCTTTTTATTTTTAAACTGAGAAATCTTTCAGAGAACGAAAATTTTAAGAAATTATTACAAATCTTATGTTTACTTTTTAGTTTAAAATTCGAACATTTTTAATTTTAAACTTCGGCTTTTAGTCAATCTAACTTTTATTTTAATTAAAATATATTTTGAAATTTTAAAATCAGCTTTTGTTTAATAACAATATTTTTTTTCATTAAGGGTGTTTTAGGGGTTAACTTAAATTAAGACTGCTTATACCTTATAAACGATAAAGAAGTGCAAATATTTCATTCTGTATCTACACACATTTTTTCAATAAATATTTTAAGTAAGATTTGTACATCTTAGTCAATTTATTTAATATCTTTCTTTAGCAAAACATATATATTTTCAAATTTATAAATTGATTTAAATCAATATGCGTATGAAGTCTTGATAGAAATCTGACTTTCTGTGCCTTAAAGTAAATGAATCTTTTTTGAAAATTTAAGCGATACATCGCTATATCGCGATGCAAAACTGACGATATATCACGATATATAATTTCTAATATCGCCCAGTCCTATTTATAGGTGGTAGTTTTGATGTACATATGTTAGATCAAGTCTAATTTTTTTCTATAAAGTCGTCTCTGTTTGACAGTGTTAGGGATCACATACAAATTTGAATTTATAATTATGTAACAGATTGATTGTGTAAATTTCGTTGCCAGGTATATAAATATATACAGTTGGACCTCTATTTAACGAAGTCGGTAAATCCCGATAACAAGTTCATTATAGGGAAAATTCGTTAAATAGAAAATCACCTTTTAAAATACTTAAACAACGCAAAACAGGTTTTAAATTCGTAAACACAAGGCATATTTAAAATAGCAATTGATGCACTTTTATCTTGTAAACTATTTATAATATAAATCTTAACCATAAAAGAAATTTACATGGTAAGCAAGAATAGAACAAAACTTTATCCAGTGTTACACTATTGTGCTACATATATTTGCAACCAAAAAAAAAGCTAAATTTATGTATAAAATTATAACTGCATTTTAGACATACATTACCACATGCGTTCTTAAGTTTAATTGCTACTGATAAAATCCGTTAATTTGGACTGATTTTCTTGTTAGAAATGCAAACAAAAAGGGAAAGGGATTTAACTGCCTTCTATAAAATAACTTCTAGAGAAAGCAGTAAATGTTCTGAAATATTTCGGAAAATAGGGAAAGTGGATTGCAATGAAAAGTTCGTTAAATAGAAAATTCACTTCGCTATTTGGAAGTTATTTTATGAAGAAATTTCTAAAATGTTCTTGGTTCCTCGAAAAAATTTGCAAAATGGAAGTTTGTTAAATAGAAGTCCGACTGTATGTATATATATATATATATATATATTTGCATTGGATTTAGAGCATTATCCTGCAATCAGTAACAAGTTTAAACACACAGATTTTAAAAGGCAAGAAAAATAAATGTTTCTAAACTTATTATTAATTATTTTTTATTTTCATGAAATTATGAGACAATAAAACAAAAAATTAAAGCATATTTTGTTATATTTAAAAATACTTTCCTATAACAATGAACAAAACTGACTGAAGATGAATTAAATAAATTACTGTGACAAAACCTCGTTACATTTAAAGTTGAATAATTATTAAAAAAAACAAAACATTTTAGGGTTAATAACTTAAAAATAAATGCAATGGAATATCAGTTAAATTTAGAAATGAAAATTGATAAAGCTTCTTGACTCTGTTGAGTATAATATTTTAAACTCTTAACAGCTATAATTTCAATTCGCGTTAAGCAAACGAGTAAAACAAAAACAGTTTTAGAAGAAGCTACCCAACGAAATTATTTTCAGAAAAATACAAAAATTAACCAAGAAATACTAAACACTTAGCCTTGACTCATTTTGGTGCAGGATTAGGCTTCTTTCAGCAAAATAAATCATTTCTTCGCACATTTAAAGTGATGTCAGGTCATATGTCTCACAAGGTGAGTTTTTAAATTACACTTCAGAGCAAACCGCTTGTTGCATACATTACATACAAAAGGTCGTTCACCAGTATGTTTGCGTATATGTCTTCTTAAAGTATTCAAATCGGGTGATGAGTAATTGCAAAAGGTACACTGATAAAATGAATGATTTCCCAGCAGTCTTTTATTACAGTACATCAAAACCTCACTTTTCGAATATTCTGGAAAGAAAGGATGATCTTATTAATAAATGATTAAAGTTAACAATAGATATTCAAAAAAATCTATTTTGAATTTCCTTACTGCATAATTTCCACAACTTATAAGTATACAAAATTGAATTTTTTTCTTATACCAGGGATCCCCACTTAATTTCAGAAAAAAATTCCCTGACTTTTCCAGATAAATTTCAATGAAAATTAAGAGTGTATTTTCTTCAGAAAACTTTGATTCTTTTATTTGAAATATTAGATTTCCTGTGTTAAAAAATTATTATTAAACGAAGAAAGAAACATCTCAGCTTGACTAAAATGTGAAATTTTTTCAACAAATAATTGTAATAGATGTTAGAATTATTTAACTCGAGTCTCAATAACTGATTACTGTTACTGACGATTTTAAGACTGGATTTTTCCAGGTATGATATAGGAATATTCCAGGTTTCTGTAAAGAAAAATTTCAACTTTCCCTTCAACTTAACTTAAAATACTTAATTCAACTTAAAATAAAATTCCCTGACAATTCCAGGTTTTCCCTGACCAGTGGACACCCTGTCATACATATGTTTAATATACATATAAAATATTTCTTATTTTATACGCATATAAAATATATGTAGGTATTTATTTCATATGTATATAAAATATTTCGAATTTCTTATACATATAAAATATGTTTTTTCTAATACATAGAAATTTAACAAAACCAAGCATTTGAAATAAAATTTACAATATATCATTTACATAATTACACTTAATTAAAACTGAAGTTAGTGCTTTTACATGAAAGAGCACTTATGATACAGCTTGGCAATGAATTTGGCAGGTTGGAGCTTGGCTTGAAAACATCACATTAGCAGCCCTTCTAGCAATGCTAGTCAATTCCATCATTTGTTATTCCTTTTTAATTTATTATAGTGTATTTTTTTTATAAACATAACTACTTTGCCATCATATAACTTTTTAGTGGCATTCTTTAAGCATCTATTTTTGAATATGAGTTATTAATATTGCAAAAATAGTTTATAAAGAATAAATATTTATTGATTCACATATCACTATAGTTTCACAAACTTTGACTAATTAGTTGGATTGTGACTTTCAATTTTGGCAATGTTCTGTTTTACATTTGGGAAACACAGCCTTATGATGTAGAAGTACCAAACCGTTATCAGTAAACATGCTATCAACTTCTGCAAACTTTTAACCTCTATT